GAATGCCTTTTGTATTTTCATGCAAGCATTATACTATTTTTGTGGCGTTAAAACAAGACTTTTGTGCCTTATATCCCGCACCTGAAGGAACGGGTTTTACGGCACTATTTGATAAAAAATATTATTTACTTAGATTTAGAAACAACAGGATTAAACTATGACGATGAAATATTACAGATAGCAATTATTAATGATGTAGCTAATGTATTACTAAATAGTTATGTCAAACCTACATATCATAAAAAATGAGAAGATGCACAACAGATACACGGTATAACACCAGAAGATGTTGCTGATGCACCTACTATTATTGATTTAGTGTTCCCCATAGGCATGGGGATGAACCGAGGTGATCAGAATATTGCACTAACTAAACTGTTACGCATGAGGTTTAATGATGTCGCTTAACAAAGACGAATTTATCGAAATTTTAAAAAACTCTACTGTAGAGCTAGAAATAGATAGCATGTGTGCATACGAGAATACGATCGATGATGGCTATCTAATAAACATTATATAGAATACACTGTAACTAAAAAAAATGATGAATTGCTAGTTGAGACTGGTACAGTAGCCGATAATTTTGCTATTTACTGTAATGACGAATAGGCGAATGCTTTTGATGTTGTTGATGTTGAAAACGAAAAAGAGCTGGAGCGTTTGGTTTTCACATACACTAAACTTGATGATTTCGGCGATGTTAGTCAGCTATTCTAGGTAATTCCGATACAACACAAGGAATTAAAAATGAAATTTGACGCAGAAAAAGAATTTGAAAAAACTATAGAAGACCTTGTTTTAGAGTTGACTCATATTAAAGTTGATACAAGTAATTTATTTCTGTAAAGTTACCTCAATTTTTCTGGAACAGATACAATGAAAAAGCCTACTGGACTAGTTGGTAAGGCGTTTTTCGAGATCAACACGATAGAGACTACACTATCAAATTCACTCAATACTACGACTGTTTTAAATCAATTTTATTTTGCAATATAGATATTTTGAATACAAAAATACACCTGATCTGGATAATGCTCAGAAATTAATACGAAACTACGTTGAGCCTTATTTGCACGGTTGGCAAGAATCAAAACAAAGTAGATATCGATAGTTTGTGAATGCTGAAACGTGAAATATCATTCACAAATTGTTGCTTTTAGATTTGTTTGTGTATGATACAACTCTATGTATTTTGATTTTAGATTGTTCGCATCATTACCCACCCCAATTCAATTCTAGTAGTATTAATAATCCACCAGTATTAATAATCCACCAGTATTAATAATCCACCAGTAGTAATAATCCACCAGTATCAAATCTTTTTTTTTCAGTCGTATCTTTTCTTGTCTTGTGCTAATATAAAGTGAAAAAGAGGAGCTTGTGCACATATGGATAGACAACTAAAAGCAGAACAAGATTTATTAAAACTAAAATTAACACAATCAATATATAAACAACATGAATTATTAGAAAAAAATTTAACTTATAAAACTACAGTAGCTAAAAAATATAACAATATATTATTTAAAAAATTATTTGAACGATTCAAAGGAATCTTTACTACAGATTTTAGAGAAACAAAAGTAATTAAAAGTCGCAATTTAGACCATCTATTAGCTACATTACCCGTCGAATTATTATGTTATCTAACTCTACAGACTGCTACAAAAGCATTACGAGAGCCAATAAAATACACTGAATTAAGCCGTCAGCTAGGCGTTGAATTATATTTTCAATACAAATGTATTTTATATTATAAAAAACTAAATCCTAATTTAAAATCTAATTTTAAAGACGCTTTAAAAAACAATCAATATTATTTTTGTAAGCAATCACGAGAAAAACTATTAGACAAAAAACTCATTAGCTATGTAGGTGAACTAGATATTAAAATAATTCATTCAGATGCACTGCTACTAATAGCTAGATATATGTTAAAAATTTTACTAGAAGAAACAAATTTATATCAAAAAAAACTACTGGTAAAAACTATTCAGCAAAACAAAAGAAAAGCATATTATTTTATGAGTAATCCAGAGGCTAAAAATCATTTTAAAAAAGTTACGGAAATGTATAGTTTTTATGGAATTAGCTCAGAACCTATGCTATGTAAACCTGTACGTTGGGATGTAGCTAAACAAGGTGGATATTTATTAACTAGATTATTTAAACATAAAAAAATGATACAGGTTGTAAATAACGATCACGAGTTTAGTAAATATATTAATGATGCATACAAAGAAATGCCTGAAGTTTATGCTTGTGTGAATAAATTGCAAAGTGTTCCTTTACGAGTAAATAAGAAAATTTTTGAAATTTTGAATACAGCAGTTACTAAAAATATTAGATTAGAATGTTTACCAGATTTTAATTTTGATGAGTATAGAAATTCTAAACAACAACAATATGATGTATATCAAACACGACTTAAAACTACAGATCACGATGCGAGATATTTTTATCTACTAAGCGATTTCATGGATGCTAACAAAGCTAGAGCTTTGAGTATATCGAGAGCTGTAAAACTAGCTAAAAAGTATCTTAATGAACCTGAATTTTACAATACAATGATGTGTGATTTTAGGGGTAGAATGTACACTAGTAGCGAATTATCATTCATGCAACACGATTGCACCAGAGCTATGTTAGAATTTAGTAAAGGGAAAAAATTAAAAACTAAATTAGGTGTAGAAGCGTTTAAAATTCACGGTGCAAATCTAGCTGGTAAATCTAAAGAAAGTTACTCGGATCGTTTAAAATTTATCGATACGAATGAAAAAAATATATTAGAAGTTGTAAAGGATCCGATTGAAAACAAATGGTGGATTGATGTAGCTAAAGAAAAGTCGTGGCAATTTTTAGCATTTTGTTTTGAATATAAAAATTATAAAGAATTAGGTACTAAGCATATTTCACATCTGCCTATTCAAATCGATGCTACTGCTAGTTTGCTACAACACATTTCTATGATTACAAAAGATAAAGAGCTAGCAGAAAAAACAAATTTAATTAAAAATGAAAAACCTTACGATATTTACACAGAAATTTTGGAAGAAGCTGAGGCAATACTACACAATGAATATCACGAAGAACATGCTGTTGAATCAGAATTTGTTTATAGTGAACAACATAAAAAATATATAAAAGTACCGACAAATAAATTTTATGCAGGGGTTTGGTCTACTGTTAAATTAACACGAGATTTAATTAAACAAGCCGTAATAGGAACGGTATTTGGTGGTGGAAAACATACGTTAAAAACTTATATATTTAAAGAATTTTAAACAAATTACAGACGTACAAAAAAATATACTGCAATGATAAAACAAAATTTAGCTCACAATATGCTAGTTTTTATTTAGCTAATATTTTAACTGATATAGTAAATGCCAAGATAAATTCAAAAAATAAATTATTAGGTTATTTAAAATATATTATTGCAAGCACAAAGAAACCATTTTTTTATAAAACACCAACAGGATTTTTATTAAAACAAAGTTATTTCAAAAATAAAATGAAAACTATTCAGATGGCAATTAGAAAAACTGGAGATAAAATGCAGGCTAAAGTTTATGAATACGATTATACAAAAATCAGTGTGGGCAGGCAAAATAGAGGAGTTGTAGCAAATGTAATTCATGCTTTAGATGCTAGTCATTTAGTTAAAACTATGAATAACGCATTTGATGTAATTGATGATTTTAATGCCATAACATTACATGATTGTGTTGCAACGCACGCTTGTGATATAGCAAAGCTAAAACTAATTTTGAAAGAGCAAATGTATATTTTATATAACGATAACGATGTTCTATCTGATATTAAAAAACAAGCAGAAACACGCTACAATGTAGAGTTAAAAAGTTTTGACGCTAAGGGCGATTTTGATTTAAGCCACATATTAAATTCAGAATATTTTTTTAATTAATATGAAATTATTTAAACATCAGTTGTATACAAGCGAGTTTTTTAGAAAAAATAAAAGAATTTTCAATTTATCAGAAGCAGGTACTGGGAAAACTATAGCTACAATAGATGCGTTTTACAAAACAAATATTAGTAATAAAAAAATGTTAGTATTAGCACCATTATCAATTTTAAAATCGTCGTGGTTGAATGATTGTATTAAATACGATAAAAACTCTAATGTCGCAGTAATCGATGGCACTAGCAGTAAGCGACTGAAAATATTTAATGATGATAGTTATGATATTTATATAGCTAACCATGATTTTATAAAAACAATCCACGATAAAAAATTAAATATTTCAAAATTTACTCATTTAATACTAGACGAATTTACTGTTTTTAAAAATAATAATAGTAGAATATCACAAGCAGTATTAGACATTGCATTGAAAACAGAATATTTATGTTTGATGTCAGCAACACCAATCAATACTACAGTAGAAGATTTATTTTATCCTTGTTATTTAGTAGATCGAGGCAAAAGACTTACAAATAACTTAGCAACTTTTAGATTTTTGTATAGAAATAGTTACGAAATTAAAATCAATAATAGATATCACACAAAATATGTAGACAAAAAAAAGGTTTATAAAAATGTCATTAAACAAAAATTAGCTGATATAACAATAGATTTCAAATTAAGTAGCAATATACCTCAACAAACAATAAAAACTATTTATGTTAATGCAGATAATGCTACCAAAAAAGCTGTAAAAGAAGTCAAAAAATTAGCTAAGGTTAAATCATTGCAAGTGTCAGCAGGTGCAGTATATACAAGTAATGGCGAATCTATACACGTGAGTAATCAAAGAGCCTATGTAATATTAAAAATTGTAAAAAGCAGTTCAGATGCAAGCGTGATAGCGTATTCTTGGACTAATGTCGCTGATGTGATAATGAGTGTTTTAGCTAAAAATAATATTGATTATGCAATAATAAATGGCAGTGTAACTGCTAACAATAGAGCAAAAATAATAGCAGAATTCCAGCAAGGAAAATATAAAACGATTTTGTTACAAGCAGATTCAGCATGTCATGGTTTAACATTAACACGAGCCAAAAACATTATCTGGGCTAATCCAACCTATAACTATGAGACGTTTACGCAAATAAATGCTAGAGTACGAAGAATTGGTCAATGTTGCCCCACTTTTGTTTATAGTATAGTAAATAGCTCATCTGATGAACGCAATGTCATTTCAAAATTAAACAAAAAAATAGCTAGCAATCTATAACACAATTGTAATACTATAACAGTTTAATTTTCATTTTAGTTAAATTCGCAATCCATCAAAATCAATAATTTAACTATAACCAATAGAGCGACTATGAAGTCAAACAGATTAATCATAACGAGTTTCAGAATTACACGTGAGCAACATCAGACATTAGAGATGTTAAGAAATCGCAAACGAGTTTCTAAATCTAGTATAATTAGATCGCTTATAAACTCACTACAAAAAAAAGAAGGACGATGTGATGATACCAGATAATGTTAATTTAGCAAAAATAAAACAACATAATTTATGTTTAGCTAGCATGTTGTATGGAATTGGATATAAACCGATCGCTAGTTATGATGCAAAACCGCACTATAAATATAAAAATATTGATTATGATTACAATAAATGTATTGATTACCTTAACCAATCAAATAGTTTAAATACAACAGTATCAATAATAGTAGATGACGGTTTATTTGTTTTAGACGTAGATACCTACGATGATATAGCAAAATTAACTCTAATATCTGCTAAACATGAATGCAAATCTAATCTTGTTGTTAAAACACGAAACGGCTATCACGTTTATTATAATGTTGATTATGATGTTAAATCACAAAACACCAACAACAGCAATAATAGCATAGCTACAAAATGCAATGGTATGCCGATTATCGCACCTTACGCATTTAGATATTGTAGAGGCTGGTGCTACAAACCCACAAAAACTATTGTTAATCGAAACCGCTTAAATTACTTACCGTACGATATGTACCTTGAGATATCACGCCAGAAAAATACCTGTAAATCTTGCTCTAGCATAGTCACTAACAATGCTAATTTTAACAATAAACCAATAAAATATTATTTATCAAAGTTAGACTCAAGCGTTTTTTTGTTTGGAGATAGAATCGTATGGCTCAGATTATTAAGTGCGTGCAAAGCAACTGGAGATGACAGAGCTTACAGAGAATGTTTGGACTGGAGTCGTCAAGGAAAATACATTGCTATGACCGATCGAGAATTCAAAGCCCAGTGGAATAGTGCGAACGGAATCAGCAATGGTTATGCCTACCTAACAAAAATCGCCAGGAGTTAGTCATGGACGAGACGATTGTTCGTAATAGTACACAAACAACAGACGATGTGCAACTTTTAAGTTATGATATTTGTGAATTTACAGGAAAACAAACGCATTTCTATTTAAAAAACATTAAAAAGGATATAAAAAATATTTTATTTAATGATGGTTTAAATACAACTCAAAAATCATGTTATGTTATTTATACACTAAATAAAGCGTACGCACGTGTAACAGTAGATACTAATACATTTGTTTTAGGTTACCGCAAACGCAGAAAAAGACAAGGGTTAGTGATGTCGCTGTATACCCTGAATGATTTTAAAAGATTTTTTTCTAATATACCACAATTGCAAGTTGAAGGCGGTAACGCAGTTAATATTGCTGAATATTGGTTTAATCATAATGATGCTAATGATGCGTACAATGGCATGGATTTACAGCCTGATTTAGAGCCTTGCTCATTAGATGACGGATATTTAAATATTTGGCAAGGCTTCGGAGTAAATGATTTGGCAGTAAGTGAAACAGATGTTCAATTAGTAAATTATTTAAACCATGCTAGATATATTATCTGTAATGATAATGTCGAACATTACGATGAATTGTTAAGGTTCTTAGCTCATTTGCGACAACGACCAGAAGAAAAGCCACTTTATGCTATAGTATTAGAAAGTGAGGAGCATGGCACAGGTAAAAGCACTTTTCTACAACCACTAGTAACGATGTGTGGTACTCACGGAACAGAAGTGCAAAAAGGCGAAAGAGTTTTCGGTAAATTTAATTCTAGAATTGCAAATCTAATACTAGTAGTTTTAGAAGAAGCGTTTGCAGGCAGTAACGATGCAACTAATAGTTTGAAAAATTTAATTACTAGCTACATTATGGAGTTAGAAAAAAAAGGTATCGATGCTATAGAGGTAGAGAATTATCTAAGGTTGATTTTAACTACTAATCAAGTAAATATTATAAAAATTGATTCTACTGAACGACGTTATTTTTATTTAAAAGTTTCTGCGAGCAAGCTAAACAATACAGAATATTTTGAAACACTGAATTTCACTATACCTAAAAGAAAAAGCCATATAAAATTTGTAAGCAAACTATCTTACTTTTTAAAAAACTATCCTTTACCCCCTAAATATATACCTAAAAATCCCCCCAATACAAAAACTTTAGGCATGAAGAAGCTAGATAACCTTAGCCCAGAACATAAATTTATTTACAGAATGCTATACAGCGGTAGCAACACGTCAGCATTCGGTTCGTTTGATTGGCAAGAGAGGGTTAGTAATAAGGAGCTAGAGGTTTTATACGAAGAATTTAAAAAAGGATTAAGAAAACACACATTAGATAAAGAATCACAGCTTCCTTTGCGGTCGATTGGCATAATGCTAACTAGACTGGGTATGGCAAATAATGTTAGTAAAAGTGGTAGATCACGTGAAATGTTGGAGTACAAGATTCCAGAATATAAAAACAAGTTTTGCGATATTTTGGGATTACCTAGTGATATTTTTGAGTGCAATAGCAACGACTAGCAACGACCATAGCAACGACCTTGTAATTATTAAAATTAAGCCTAAGCCATTTAAAAATGTAGTGTTTCATCAATTTTAGAAATTAATAGCAACGACTAGCAACGACCTTG